GGCGTAGGGAAAACAGGACTCATCGAATGTGACATGGCGGGAAACGATAATTTTGTGTGAGGTGAGGTCGAGACACCGATAGCCACGCTGGGCCTCGGGGTAACCAAGGAAGATGCATCGAGCAGAACGTGGGGCGAGTTTGTGGGGAGCAGTTGCAGAGAGGTTGGGGTAGCAGAGGCATCCGAAGACGCGAAGGTGGGTGTAGGACGGAGGAGTGCGATATAGAGCTTCATGAGGAGTGCAATTGGTAAGAGTGGTGGTGGGGAGAATATTGAAGAGGCGGGTAGCCATATGTAGGGCTTCGACCCAAAAATGAGGAGGAAGGTTGGCTTGAAAGAGAAGAGTGCGAACGGTGTTATTAATTGTGCGGATGGTGCGTTCAGCACGACCATTTTGTTGGCTCGTGTAGGGACAAGAGAAACGAAAGAGGATTCCCAAAGACTCAAAAAAGTTGGCAAGTGGGTTATTTCTATATTCAGTACCATTATCACATTGTACAGATTTTATTGTTGTATTAAATTGATTTTTAACAAGAGCATGAAATTTGACAATATGAGAGTAAGCATCAGATTTGTGACGGAGGGGGAAAATCCATAACTAATGGGAAAAATCATCTAATAAGAGCATATAAAGTTTAAAGCCAGTTACACTAGGAACAGGAGATTGCCATAAATCAGTATGCATTAATTGAAAAGGAAAAATTGAAACACGGTTTGACGAAGTAAAAGGAAGGCGAACATGTTTGCCAAGTTGACATGCATGACATAAAAAATCTAATTTTGATTTAGAGACACTAGCTAGAGACGAGGACACGCCATGGAGAACAGCAGAGCTGGGGTGGCCAAGCCGACGATGCCAGGTGGAGAGATCGACTTGGGCCAGATGGAGATGAGCTGCGGACTGCACTGGAGAGATAGGATAAAGAGGTCCGTCACTATTGGATCGATGAATCACGGCTCTCGTCAATTTGTCCTTTATAGAGAAACCACAAGAGTCAAATTCAACAGTGCAGTTATTATCGCGTGCAAACTGACGAACAGATATGAGATTGTGTATGATGTGGGGGGAGACTAAGACATTGTTTAGTGTTAGGGGAGGGGATGTGGGAAGGGTACCCTTACCAAAACTGGTAGTGCTCACTTTAGAACCGTTACCAACAATAATATGCGAGGGAGAATTAATGCTTGAAGTAATAACATGAGATAATGTACCTGTGTCAGAAGTGATGTGGTGTGAAGCTCCGGTATCCATGAACCAATTGGGGTAGGTGAGGGTGAGGGTTAAGCTCTCAAGGCTGTGGGCCAGGGCTGTGGGGTTGGGTAGGGTAGGGGAGTGGGTCGGATGGGTTGGGTTGGGCGCTGTGGGTGACTGGTACGGGTAAGGGGGGATTGGGCTGGGTAGAGAGTAAGTGAGGTGGGCTGGGGAGGGAAGTTTGGGCTATAGGGGTATGGGCTGTGGGGCTAATTTGGTGGGTAGAGGGAATTTGGGAAATAGGGGCTGGTGTGGTAGTGGGCTTGGGCTGGAGGGTTGGGGAGGTTGGGCCGTGGCCCAAGGACACCAGGGGAGGGGGACGGAAATACCCAGGGAAGGCTGGATGGTTGCCGCGGATGTCCGCCGCTGCCACGACCTCGACCACGGCCCCTGCCGCGATTGCCACCGCCGTTGCCGCCGCCGGAGTTCCTGCCGCGCCCGCCATAGCCGCCACCAGACCCGCCGCCAAAGCTGCCGCCGAGCCCAGATCCGCCGTAGCCACCGCCCCGCTCCTGCCGCTGTTGGCCGCCTCCATATCCGCCCCCATATCCGCCGCCACCACCGGTGCTGAGGAGGGCTGTGGACGGCGTGCCGGCACCGGAGAAATTGTCGTTTTGTTGCTGTTCAACGAGGAGTAAGGCGGAGCGGACTTCTAGGAATGTGGGGAGCGGATTTTGATATTGCAAAAATTGAACCTGACCACGGAAGTCATGCGGGAGGCCTTGTAGAACTTGAAGCACGAGGGCGTGTTCGGTTACCGGTGCATCCACATCGTCAAGATATTCTGAGAGGTTCTTGAGGAGACGGCAATAGTCGTTGATGGAGAGGTTGCCTTTCACAGTTGTATGGAAACGATGCTCCAGTTGCATCGCCCTGGCATGCTTATTGTCGTGAAAAAGATTGTAGATTGCCTTCCACAAGGCATGAGCAGAGAGATTGTTGGCGAGCACGAGATCGGAGACCTCATCCGTGATTGTGGACAAGATCCATCCCTGAATTAGGGCATCAAATTGGTACCATTCGGAGTCATCTGCAGACGAGGCGATGGTGGTGCCGTCGATGAAGCCTTTGAGATTGAACCGGAGAATCAAGAGACGGAACAATCGACTCCACTTTTTGTAATTTGGCTCTGACAGACTGAGTTGCACGGGGATGTGAAGTTTGATATTTGATATAGTGGTGAAGGCGAGATGAGGGGAGTTGTTGGAGGAAGAGGTATCGGAGGTTGAAATAACCTTGCCGGAGGGAGATTTTTCGTCAGCCATGGTAGCCGAGAGAAGAACCGATCGGCAGTGGGGGGGAGAATTCCGATCGAGACAGAGAAGGAGAAGACAGAAGCCAATTAGGGCTCTGATACCATGTAGAAAAAATATTTTCCAATAATAATTTGGGAGATTACATGTTCTATATATATACAAGAGTTTCCTAAAGATGGTAGGAAACATAATAATTAATACACCCTATACAAATATGGTAGCTACCAATATACATAAATATTAAATATGGTAAATATATATTTACATATTTAACAAAAACTCAAACAAAAACAAGAAGCGGATCGACAAGAACATATTCAACTAAGAAAGGATCGACAAATGGCTATTGATCTTAAGATCTTGTCGAAACCGGTCCCCACCGCTCCAGGACCGCAGCGTGACCTAACCTTGAAATTGCATGAACAAATAAAGAAAATAATCCGGTCTTGACCAATGAAATATTTTTTATTAGCTAATCACGTACTTTTTTAAAGTTTGAACAAAACTTTCTAATGTATTATGTATAATTAGTTATATACTTTTTCAAATTTTAATGAAATATTTTACGTTTTATTAATTAATTGTTTTTGAAGTTTCAATTGTATTTTTAAAATAGTTGGAGAAAAAATAATTGGATAAAGCTATTTGTACCCCAAATTTTTGTACGTCATTTGTACACTGCAGGTTTGCACCGACATTTTGTGTTGGTGTACAACTAATTTTTATTGACGCACCTACAGTTTGTGTCCGTGTAAATTTTTGTTAACGCACCAACACTTGTGTTGGTGTAAACCATCAAAATGTTTATGTATAACTGCGGTGTACAAATGTGGTACAATTTTTTATGTAAATGTAGCATGACCCAAAATAATTTTATTATTAGTTAATGATTGAAGGGGCTTGAAAAATGGTCATGAATCACTGCACATTTTTGCTCAAAATGTGTATGATCACATGACATCCACATGACAAAAATGCTTCAAAATGGCATGAACCACTGCACATTTCCGTCTAATACTCCGTAAGTTACAAGTTATGAAGCTATTCTCAGTGTCACATATATATTAGGAAGACAACTGGAATGCCTCATTTGCCCTCACAAATTTTCAAAAGTCTAACAAAAGGTATGCTTTTATTAGATATTCCCCGTTCCAAAATAAAGCTGTTGTTTAGTTTACGATGTTTGACCTGAAATTATTATTTAAATCAATATAAATATAAATTAATATATAATTAAAAAATAAAAATTATTTATTAAAAAACTATATAAAAAATTTTACAAAATGAGGGGTGACAAGCTTATTTTATTTTATCAAATTATTGATAAATTTTTTTTAAAGAAAGTAGAGTTAGTTTGATTTGTGAATAGTAACTAAGAGAGTCTTTTGTTTGGAACAGAGGAAATTTTATAGATAAAAATAATCTTTTTGTTACACATTAAAGATCTACGAAGAAATAAATTTTTTATTACCTCTATGTCCCGATTTAAGTTTTCTATTCATTATTCAAACTACCAGACTTTATTATATTTCTTTATCTAATTTCTATCTATTAAATATAGTCATGTCGTTCCGAATACTTTTGATGTAGTTTTTCAATATTAATTTTTATTTTTTAATTCTACCCCAATTATCAAAGAAATTTAACAAAAAATAAATTCAGTAAATAATCATAAATTGAAACAGGTGATTTAATTTAGAACCGAGAAACTAAGGGTCAGAGTTGAGGTTTATTCCAAGCAAAAAAGTCCATTTAATCGCCCCTTAACATTATCAAATCGCAAATACCCCGTAGTTCTCCATTAACTAATAAGTACACCACACTCCGTAGTAAATATGATACAAATGTGAGCAAAAGGGGCCTCCTTTAAATGGTTGGGCCATTTCGCGCAGTGAGGCCCAAGTCTTTTGATCGTAAAATTAGGGTTTCAGACTTCATATAGTCTTCCGCAGAAGCGAAGATTTGCGGCTGGCCAACATTCAGGACGACGAGAGAGAGTGAGTGAGAGACGATGAAGACGATACTCTCTTCCGAGACGATGGACATCCCCGACGGGGTGAAAATCAAGGTGAAGGCGAAGCAAATCGAGGTTGAGGGTCCTAGAGGCAAGCTCTCCCGGAACTTCAAGCACCTGAATCTCGATTTCCAGCTGATTAAAGACCAGGAAACCGGGAAACTCAAGCTCAAGGTCGACGCCTGGTTCGCGTCGCGGAAGGCCACCGCCGCGATCCGCACCGCCCTCAGCCACGTCGAGAACCTCATCACCGGTGTTACCACCGGCTTCCGCTACAAGATGCGCTTTGTCTACGCTCACTTTCCCATTAACGCCTCCATCGCTAACAACAACAAGTCCATTGAGATTCGGAACTTCCTTGGGGAGAAGAAGGTATCGCATTTCAACTCTCTTTCGACAATTAGATTCGTTTTACCTATTGTAGATCTGTTACTACGTTCTAGATGTACAATCATGTCTTTAAGTTATTCGTTTGCACGTTTCATTGAGTGATTCCTTGTCATTGTTCTAGTTATTGTTTGTTCTGTGTGCCCACATTAAAAAAACTAATATGTGCGGTTTGGCGTAATACTGTTTTGTGTTCCATATATTGGTTACTCTATGTATGTTATTGGCTTATGAGATGCACATGCGGTGTGAATAGATAAGATACAGATTGAGTTTAGATAGGGCGTTTGGTTTGTTCCATTTGCTTTGTGTTTACATTTCTATATGCCCTACATGTAGATTGTGATTGCATTGATTTGGCATCATGGTGATCTGTGTTTTGCGAGTGCATATAGTTCACGTGTATTCTGTATATGTAACTATATTTAGTCTGTAGTGATTGAGCTGCATGTTAGTATGGTGTACTCTATTTTTTTGCTACTGATTCATCTATGACTTCTCAAATAAGCTTTGTAAAACAAGTTCCTTCTTTGTTTTTGTTCTTGATTTTTTGAAAGTTGCATCTTTTTTAGTGATTTATCACTGCAAGTTAAAGGCTAAAGGCATGTTGATTGAGTCAATTACCCATATCTATCTTCGAATAATGTTTCAGCGGAATATGTGAGCATTCATAATATGTTAAAGTTTGTTCCTGGATGGATATAACTCAAAGTAAAGTTTCTGCCTTGCCCAGAGAAAACTTTGTTTTTGTATGGAACGTAATGGGAAGGTTATTTGTTCTTTTATGCACTTTGCTTTGGTTTGTCAATGCTGTAGTTGCAGATCCTTAGCTGCTTGGCAGAAGATTATGCCAGCATTTAAGAGAATTTGGTCTGTGTGTCTAGCTTGACCTATAAGCTTCCATTGACTTTGTTTTGCTGGCCAGAAATGATTGTTTTGTATTGTAATGTTCATTTGTGAAATACTAGGTGTATTCCTAATGCATATAAATACCATTAGCTCTTCTTTGCAACTCAGATATGGTCCATTTTGTGATCTGTCTAGATAATGAAAAATGGTAGGTTCTGAACCTGCAATAGATATCGCTGGTATGAAAATTTAGTTTCTGTCCACATTACAGGTAAGGAAAGTGGACATGCTTGAAGGGGTTACTGTTCTTCGCTCGGAGAAGGTGAAGGATGAATTGATTTTGGATGGGAATGACATTGAACTTGTGTCTCGCTCATGTGCACTCATTAATCAGGTGATACACTTGTGTATATTAGCTTTATATCTTTTAGTGATTAATAACTACTCCATGTTCTAAGTTCTTGCCACTTTATGTGTTTTTATGTGCAGAAATGCCTTGTCAAGAACAAGGATATTAGGAAGTTCCTGGATGGTATCTATGTCAGTGAGAAGGGAAAAATTGAAGAGGAAAACTAAGTGCACTCATAAAGTCTGCTAATTTATCAATTCCCTTTACATTTTGGATTAATTTCTTGTTAAAGTTTAGACTTACTATGGAGTTTTGGTATTTCAGGACAATTATGTGCACTATTATGTTTAAAATTTTGTGTTGCTTTTATATCTTTCGAATTCTTCATGATGCGAGTGTTGTTTCTTTTCAACTTTGTGCAAGTATTGTTTGGTGCTTTGGATAGAATTCTGATCCTGTGCTTGGCCAATTTCATCTAACTCCCATCCAATTTCTGCCCACGAGAGGCTAATTTAATAGCTTAAATAACATGTAATCTCTCGAAAATAAGATGTGAATTTTGTTCCTTTTCACTGAAGACGTTCTGGCAATGGTGTTACTGTGTTGGTGGCAGTGGAGAACGATGATGGCTGAGGTGGAAGAAGATGCAAAAGGTGGTAGAAGAGAAAGTTGGCAGAAGGGGAGGAGATGAAGGAGGAAGAAGGCGGAAAAGGTAGAAGAGGGGAAGGAGGATGTAGGGCAAAGAAATAACAGATGGGAGTACAACCTATTAATCTAAGGGAGAAGAACTAAACTAGGAGTAAAAGTTATGTTATATTCTCAGAGTTATTGATTAACTTTTGTTCTCAATTCTCTCTTCTCATGCTGTCTTCTCCCTTCCTTTGTTTTATTGAGTATTTCTTTTCTTGCAGGCGTGTGAATTTACACACTGAATACTACAATGAATACTACAATTATGCATAAAATTCATGGTCTAACAATTAGGAAATTGATTATTTATTATTATTATTATTATACTATAAAATTTTTATATTTATTTATTAAATTATAACATCTATTTTGCTCATAACTTTTTACACCAAAGTCTAAACGACGTAACAAATTTTATGCTATTAGTCACCTTTTTACGAGATCAACCCAATTACCTATTTTTTTGAATTAAAAGGTTGTCTTTACAAATAGTTTATATTTTTGAATCAGAAAATAAAATAGGACATTATATTTATTTTTTATCAAAATAACGGTTAACTACTAAGCCGGCTAATTTTTTTACCCAAAGTTAAAATATTGTTAATAAATGATTCTTTTAACTACATTGTCAAGGGACGACAACAAAATCACATCCAGAGCTCAGTACCATAGACAAATACGGCTATTTCTACCTTACTCCTGAATATTTATATGTGTATCCTAATTCACAACTCAAATATTCTGATTTGATGATTTGACATTTTTAGGAAGAGAAAAAAACTTGATATACATCACCTTTAAGTGTTGCCTCAGGCCCATAGAGTGTCAAACAAGAC